TACGGACGAGTTCCTAAATCTCAGCAGAGATGTTTCCTCAGTTGAATTACAGACGAGTTCCTAAATCTTAGTAGAGATGTTTCCTCAGTTAAATTACGGGCGAGTTCCTAAATCTCAGCAAAGATGTTTCCTCAGTTGAATTACGGACGAGTTCCTAAATCTCAGCAAAGATATTTCCTCAGTTGAATTACGGACGAGTTCCTAAATCTCAGCAGAGATGTTTCCTCAATTGAATTACAGACGAGTTCCTAAATCTCAGCAGAGATGTTTCCTCAGTTGAATTACGGACGAGTTCCTAAATCTTAGCAAAAATATTTCCTCAGTTGAGTATGGACGACCGAAGTTCCTAAATATCAGCAGAGATGATTCCTCCGTTGAGTACGGACGATTGGAGTTCCTAAATATTAGCAGAGATGATTCCTCCATTGAGTACGGACGATCGAAGTTCCTAAATATCAGCAGAGATGATTCCTCCGTTGAGTACGAACGATTGAAGTTTCTAAATATCAACAGAGATAATTCCTCAGTTGAGTACGGACAACCAGAGTTCCTAAATATCAACAGAGATGACTCACCAGCAGAATAACGGACAACCAAAGCTCCTAAATTTCTACTTCTCTCAACAAAGACCAGACTTCCCCAACGGAATCTTCCACAACAACAGGTATACAAGCTCTCGCTAAGGAATCTCTTATGCGACCGACACTCCTTAAAATGGCATCTTTAAGCCCATCCCCTCGTCAGCAATCTCCAAGTGGCATCTGTAAGCCCATTCCTGACATCACAAGACAATTACCACTTCATGCGAGTGCATATTTCTGGGCACTCTAGTGTTCAATCATCTTCCACCTTCGGATCACGAAAGGCACGCAAGCCAATCTACATCCTCAGGTATAAGAAAATTGAACAGGGGCAGCTGTTGTACCCCAAAATTTTCCCTCCCATATTTCTCAAAATATTTCAAGAAAAATCGTCAAGTTGCTCAAGGTAGTCCAAGGGTTGGCCAGACAAGCTCTCTCCTAAGGCAGTCTACCCCAAATTAGGGTTTCATGTTGCATCAAGATACTTGAATCCAAGTGACCCCAAATGCTCAACATTGTCCTAATATGTTCTCAAGATCATCCATGTCAAGTTTCAAGCCTTGCAGAGAAAGTTTGCTCAGTCAATTGCTCAAAGGCCTGAAAATCGACTGTGCTAGGGCAAAAGTCAACTGTGGCCCACATAGAGTCAAAATTCAAGATTTTTGGTCAACATCCTCATTTTGAAGTATATTTCATCATTTGATCAAGGATTGATCATGATTCATCAAGGATTGCTCATAATTCATCAAGATTCAAAAGTTGCTAAATTAGGGTTCTGTAGGAAAAGTCAACTCAACTTTGACCAAGCATAACTTTCTCATACTTTATGAGAAATGAGCCATCCAAATATCATTTTTAAGAGGATTCAATTCCCTACAATCCATATTCATCTCCAAAGTTCAAAATATGCACTCATAAGAAGTTATGAATTTGGACATTATAGGTCATTTTGAAAAGTCAACAAAAACACCTTTTTTGTCAAAGCTTCATACATGAGCATGGAATATCAAAATGATATGAGACCAAAAGGGTTGCTTAGAGGACATCTAAATATTTATAAAAAGTCCAAGAAGACCTCCAAAGAGTTAAAATTGAGGAAGTTATGCATTGTTGAAGTTGACCTTTTTTGTAAAATTGCCAAAAGTCTACTATCCCCAAAACTTCAAATTTTGCCAAATGGGCCCAATCTTTTTCACTTGTTTTGAGTTGGAAACATATCCCACATGCTCTAGCCTTTGCCACTTGTCCATAACTTATTTTTATTATTTATTTTGGTTTTTATTCGAATTAATTCAACTTAAATCAAATTAAATCAAATAAAAATCCAAAACATTGATAACAAGAGATTTTATGATTGTTTCAGGTTCCAATTACAGCTAGCATCATTCAAATTCGTGCAAAGCATTAGAGAGAACAAAAAGATTGAAAAAAGGCCATGTTTGGAAATATTTTAAAAGCAAATCAAATCAAATCCAAAATCATTGATGGAGAAGGATTTGGATGCAATTATCAACCCTAATGCCTTCACTCATACATAAGGAATGAGGCCAGGCCTAAAAACAGGTTAGAAGCAGGCGTGAGAGCAAGAACAGAATCTGAAAAAACAAGAAAAAAATGTGAGATCAAAATCCCACTTAGAGGCATTCTCAAGGCTCATGACTTATTCCAATCGCTTCCTGGCACTCGCAACAACCTAAAGCTATCAAGAACAAGTCTGTTCCGGTCCCTAAACGCACTGTAAGTCGTTCACGTTACACCCCCATTCTTGAATTCGAAACTCACGATTTATGCATTGTTAGGTTGAAATAATTGTACATTCTTGATCACCATAACATTTGCAAACTTTCTGCATTATTCAATTTCATTTATATGGTTTGTGCTGTAAATCACCATTGCTAGGTTTTCGAGCTTGGTTTTAGGGTTTTTATTTTCAGGGACAATTGGCCTCTGTAAATGGTACAGGTATGATCAGGAGGACGAGAGGGACACAACCATGGCTTTAGATATTATTTCCATGGCCTGTAGAAGATTTTGGAACGAGCATGGCCTATAGCGACGGACAAAACGTCCGTAGGTAAAAGTATTTTACTTTTACCCATGGAGAGAGGAAGGGGACGACTGCATTTCATTCCCCCATAGGCCTATTCAAATCTGGCGCGTTTTTTTGTTACATTATCCACTAACTCTTTTTCTTATATTATCTTTGTTTCTTGGCATATGTACAATAACAATCAACAGCCCAACTGGTTACTAGCCATTGGAAATTTCCTTCAGGACCTGGGTTCGAATCCCAGGTCCCCCTATTTCTCTATATTATTTTCTTGCAGGAAATCCAATGTGCACGTGAGCCTAACATCCATCATACTCCCTCATCATCCAACGCACCAGATGGCCAGATGGCCAAATCTGGTGGCCACCACTGAGAGTGCACCATAATCCAGAGTCAACGCGTGTGTATAGAATTGCAAAGGTCAAACGGATCTCATCTCAATGGGCCCAGGAAATTGCTATTGACACCCTTAAATCAGGCCCATCTCCCATCTTTTATATTTCTATTTATTTCATTTAATTCTATTTAATTTAATTGCTAACCAATAATTATTTTCTTTTTTTTCTTTCAAAAATCACCAAAAATATTTTTATGTCCAAATAAATTTAGAATTTTATTTTTCATCAATAAATAAATTAACTTTAATTTATTTTTCAAATAATTAAAATTAATTAGAATCAATAGGTTTTTATTACTAACTTAATTATTTTATTTCTTTCCTAAAATAACCAAAAACCAAAAATATGTCATTTAATTATCGTTCATTAATTTATTTAATAACCAACTAATTTAGTATTTAATTTTAAGACTTAATTTATTTTCTTAAAAAATATTAAAAACAACAAAAACAGTTTCTTTTAATTAGGAGGGTCAAAACCCTACGTTTCGCATTCGATCTAATTTCTCGCGCGCTTTATTTTTATCCAATTATTGTATCTGCTCTCGATTTGTAATAATTAAATTAAGACATTTATTTATTTTTACCGCTTTTAATTTTAAAGGGTTTGGTTTTGGCTATGTAAATACCCGAAGCCTTGTAATAGTTTAGTTTAAATTCTGCAATTTATTTAACTGCTAGATATGTGAATAATTAGGGTTTGCATGACAAGAATGCACTACGCCAAATAAGCTATTTAATAGCGCTTTTTTTTGTTTTTGATAGCGCTTAAAAGTGCTATTAACCGCGCCACTATTGTAAATATTTCTTATTTAATAGCACTTTAAAAGCGCTATTAAAGTACCAATTTATAATAGCGTTTTAATTAAAGTGCTATCAAAGTCAGTATTTTGCATGTTTTTTGTTTGTTTTTTTATAGCACTCTAAACAAAAAGCGCTAATATATAACATATGTTTGATAGCGCTTTCAAATAAAGTGCTAATAAATGGTACATATTTGGTACAATATTTTTAATAAGTACAGTACAATATTTTTTCTTACACAATCATTTTTTTTGGTGTAAATATAAAATAACTATATTCAATTCAACACAAATAACGCTTTAAGTTACTCATTGCATATATATTATGATCCATCAAATACCAAATAACATTTTAAATTACCAAATCCTATTGTTTCCAAATATCATAACATATAGAATATTAAGAGGGCGTTTGCATAGCCAAATTTGTAGATGCCCATCTATGAGTACTTCAATCCAAATCCAAAAACATACAATCAAATTCTCTAAACAAAACACCAAAAAAATAAGAAAGGATAACAAAACAATCCCATGTAGTAACCACCTTCATGATCCAAAAGCGTTGAACTCATAGATACAATCACTAATTAGGCAAAATAATTGCTTCTTGTTTTCCTGTATCATAGAAGGAATATTGATTATGTATTGTACAATAAAAACTAATTCAACATATAAAGAATAATCAAACATTTAATATGGGTCTAACAAGAAGCGCATAAAATAAGGAATGATTATTATAAACTAATAACAATAAATCGATATAACTAATGCAATAATTGAACTAATTAAGTCTAACAAGAACATGACTTGTAAATATATAGACCACAATTTCCATTATTAGATGCATATAAACACTAAACAGAATATAATTCAAATTCTCAAAATATACATAAACACTTAATTGTGTGTAACTTTCTTTTCATGATCCAGAACTAGATATCAAACACCTTACAATTGTTACTACGAATATCTAAAAATTTCAAGTAGAAACGGAAAACTATAAATCAATCATACAATAAGATATAAGTCATTTTTCCGTATTTTCCTATTTCAAAATTTAAATTCGAGACCAAGAAAGAACACTCAGTACCTCTGTGCCATATCTTCTAAACCAATAAAATACTAAAATCATTTATACGACAACTCTAAATCCAACTCAAAAATTAAAATTAAACATCTAAGTCAAAATATTTAAACTCTAAATCCATGAGTAATATTTGTCTTGTTTATCAAGTATCAAGTCAAGGAAAAACTCACCGAAAACATCATCCACCACATAAGTAGCCCAATCCTCCTTAACCTCAGTTAACTTATCATGAGAGTAGGTACGACATTTGTGGTCAAAAAAGTACTTCAAATATGAAAACATCAACAATTAATCGTGTTAGAATTAAATTATATTAATTTAATTTACAAAAGAATAATAATAATAATTAAAATCACGTACATTTGTGGGGATCATAAATTCATTTTCCATGATGACCTCTTTCATAAATCGCATTACAAAGTATCCACAATCAACGCCATTAATTTGACGAGGACACTAAAAAAAAAAATTTATATCGATTAATTTTACTCCACATAATTGTTTTAAAATAACATTAATTTAGACACATACCTTTATTTTTTGCCATGAGATTTTCTTTGACTTTGACACTTTAGGCACTTTAGAACTACTATTAGCACGATAAATTTGCAACGCGCTAACAAAATGAAATTAACTTCAAATGAGTAATTATATAAATAATAATACGTACATAAATTTTAAATTAAAAGAGTCTATACTCACTTCTCAAACTTTGTTTTAAAATTTTGATGTTTTGTTGGCTCACCATTCAACGGATCCATGTAATATATCACCTCAGCATTGAGATTGATGACAAGCAACACCCAATGTTTCCTGCACCCAACATTTAAATATTGCATTAAAGATTCACATTCATTAGAGTTTTTTCTCGTTAATTTAATAACTTTTTGAATATAAATCTCACCCTAGATTACAAGGTGCAAGAATCATCTTATCCTTGAACTCCTCATCTTTCAAAAGTATTTTTGCTATACCATTTCCTAGATTATCCTCCCGTGATACATGTGGAGATATGAAAGAGAACTTATTTATTAATCCATTTGGACTAATAAACTTGTCATACAAATACCTAGAAATGAACAACAATTGATATTAATATATTTGTCACCAATGTGAATATTAGTCAACAATACAAATAACATTAATATTAATAATATATTTGTCAAATAAGAGAATATTTGTAATAATAGAGGTACCTGGAAAATACAGTGATAATAGATGCACTTAACCAATTGTGATCAAGAATCTCCTTTATACTCTCTACACGTAGTTGCTCTAAAAACTCCTCACCAAATATACTTTCCTCCATTTTTATTTGAATTAATGATCCAACCCTCATCATCTTTTTCACATACATATCAAGGAAAGGTAAATTTGCAATACCAGCTGAACCGCCAACTCTAGGAGACTCTTCGATTTTGAATTTTTTGTTACTTTTGTTGGGTGATGAAACTGAATATTCAACACTGTTGAATATTGTTACCTTTGTTTTGGGATTGACCAGGAATCTAAAAAGTTGTATTAATTAATATTAGTGATCAAATAATAAAACAAGTAGCGATCAAGCAACTTGATTATAAGTAATTTACCTTTTCACATTCAACAACAAATTCAAGAAGTTTCGTTGGCCATGGCACAATTGTTCCTATTGCTTGACCAACCATGGATACATCTCCATCTTCAACAGATATAGGCAATGGGGCATTTGGCACAATAGCAACTTCGATATTAACCTTGACATATCCAGGTGGTAACGTCATGCCATGTACCGTGTTACCTTTGGTGTTATATAGTTTTCCACGAGCAACCAAACAACGACTCGGGGAGGATAAATATATATTAACAGGAAAGAGACCCTAAACCAATAAGATATGAATAAAAAGATTAACATCATTATTGAAAGAACAAACATATCGAATTTGAGAGATAATAAAGAAACCAATTACCTCGGGAATGTTGCCAAATGATCCAGGGTTGCAAGAACCTTTATCACTAGGTAGTCGACTCTCAGCTACTTTTTCTGGTTGTTTCCTTTCTACCACTTGTTCAAGGTGTTGCCTCTGTGCCACTTTTTCAGGTTGTTGCAACCTCTCTGACACTTGTTTAGGTTGTTGCCTTTCTTCCACTTCTTCAGTTTGTTGCCTCTCTAGCTTCTCTCTATCCAACTTATCTCTCTCAATCTTTTCTCTCTCTAGCACCTCCAATCTACTTTTGAGTGAATTACAAAAGCCATACAATTTTTCAAAATCCATTTGTGTGGGGCGATTTTGGCGTGGTAATATGTCCCTAGAACATACCCCAAAACCATAAGTCCTAACACGTCCAGAGTAGTTTGGGAGATTAAGAGCCTCAAATAATATGTTTGTGGGACCAAGGTCTTGTCTCTCTTCTTCAGATAGAGCTTCTGTTAACTTCTCCTGACATTGATAAGTATAAAAGAAATAACCAATAGTTAGATACAAGTTGCAATTAATGGCTATTCTATCAAAATAAGACACAAAGACTCAATTAATTAAGGAAAATCGAGTTTAATGACTTCAAACTAACTAACAAAATACAAATTCGGTAACAATGATGAGTATAGAAAAAGTGTCACATCTATAATGTGAGCATTTTGGAAATAACATCTATAGTGTCACATCTAAAATTCGACTTACACATTGATCCACAACTCTTTGAACATTCTCATTATCAATCACCCCGCTCTTATTGACGCGGGCAGCCTTCCACACTTGACTACGGTTTATCTCACCAACTTCTGACTCTTCTACCTGTATATACATTTTTACAAATTAACATAGCAATTAAATTTTTTTATAATATTGTATAGTACATTTATACACATACTTACCATATCAGCTTCAAGACGAGCACACCCTAAACGTGACTTTCTATAGGGATGTTGAGGATTTAACGCTCTTTCTCGATTCTCATCACTAACTTTCTGCATTTATTATAAAAAATGCATCCCACAGCACTATCACTAATACTATAATCATGCAAAACTTTAAGGATCCATATCCAAGTGATAAAAGTATTACCTGAAACTTTGCAGTCATATGTTGGGCTACAAATTTATCCCAATCATCTTGTTTTATACAAAAAGAATATTTGGCCGGACGATGTTTAACAAAACCACCCTTACTATCTTTTAGATATGACCTCGCCATTTTTGTTCTGAATGCCCTGTGCAACTTTCTATCTTCTCTATATACAAAGGCAGGATGTTCCTCGCCAATTATAAAAGCTTTCTGCAAATAATTCAGTTTATTAAAACATAGTTCAGTTTATTTAAACATCCCAATGGATAGATTAACGAAATTAAAATTTTACAACTAGCTTAAGTTAGTGTGTTACTTCAATTTCATCCCAAATGTTTTGTTTATAAACCCCCACAACCTCTTTATTTTTTTTCGCGCTCCAATTGTCCAAGCTTATTGGAACTAACCGACGAACTGTGACACCAATGAAACTAGCAAAAGTCTTGCTATTATGCTTGATTGGTTGACCTCTGGAATTCCATTGAACCTATAACAAAATTAAAGTGCAAATAAAGAATCAACAGTCTCACTAATAGTGTTTAACATTCAAATAGTTTCAAACAACTAACTCATAAAAGATAATCATGTATGTAACCATCACTCATACATAGTTCAGTAAAAGGAAAATTGCCAAGAGAGTAAACAGTATCATAAAACTCTAGCTATTTTACCTCAATTCTCTTTCCATTGCTTTTGGCTTTGTGAATTTTTTGCAATCGGGTCACACCACGTTTACCAACTGTTTTCTTACTAGACGAACCACTTTCATCATCAATAGAAGCCATATTTCACCTATAAAAATTTAAAAAGTTATATACCATACAAGAATAACATTAAGAAGCAATAACAATAAAAAAATGAAAAACAAATAAATAAACCATACAAGATTAAGTCGGCCTTTTCCTCTTCCTTGTAGTTGGATTCCTACTTTTCTGTTTTCTAGTTACATAAAATGATGGATTGATCCAAATCCCATCACTGTGATCGTTTCTCATATAAAGAATATCATCTATAATTGATTCAGACTCAAGGGATTGTGAAGTATTAAAGAAAGGGTCATCCTCAACATCTATATTTGGAGTGGTGTGATCATTTATTTTGTTACTTAGAAACACAATAGACCACTTTTCATCAGCAGGATCAGTGACATAGAACACTTGGTGAGCTTGTGATGCTAAAATAAAAGGCTCGTCTTTATACCCTACTTTATTAAGATCGACCTTCATGAACCCAGGGTCAACTTGAAGGCCATTGTTATTGTCAACCCACTTGAAACCAAACACGGGCACTTGAAAGCATGAGTAATCCAATTCCCAAATACGTTCAATGACCCCAAAATATGACAATTTGGAAAATGCGGGATTTCTATTTTTGGAACTTGAGATATGCACAGATTCAGCTACGAGTGTGACACCGCTATTTTGCACAGTGCTTTGATGATCATGTTCTTCTGTATAAAATGTATACTTGTTAATTATATAACCAGAGTACGATAGAACATTTGAATTTGGACCATTTGCTAGCCATCTCAATCTTTCTAAAATTGAATCAGGATTTTTAGCAAATTCTGAAAAAATGTGTTCTTTTAGCCACGGTATAAAACTTCGATTGTGTTCTCTTGTTAACCAATTTTCACTCTTATTAGGGTTCAAACTTTGAAGTATTTCTTTGTGCTTTTCAACATATGGCTCAACCTCATCAGCATTGTGTAGAACATACAAGTGTGATTGCTCCAATTCGATGTCTGACATGGTTACTAGTTTACTTGCACCAATCCCTTCCCCTGTTGTTTTTCCAGAGTGTCGTGACATTGGAATCCCTATGGGCTCAATATTAGAGAGGTATTCAGTACAAAACTCAATGGCTTCTTCAACTAAATATCGTTCAACAATACAACCATCTGGTCGACTTCGATTCTTCACGTACCCTTTTATTATCTTCATGTAACGCTCAATCGGGTACATCCACCTCATATAAGCTGGTCCACAATATTGTGTTTCCATTATAAGATGGACTGTAAGATGAACCATTATGTCAAAAAATGAGGGTGGAAAATACATCTCAAGCTCACATAATGTGACAACAATTTCCTTTTGTAACGTCGGTAACTTCTCAGGGTCAATAACTTTGCTACAAATAGCTTTGAAGAAAAAACAAAGTTTAGTTATGGTCCATCGCACATTTTCAGGTAAAATGGAACGTATAGCCACTGGAAGAAAGTTCTCCATTAAAACATGACAATCGTGAGACTTTAAACCCTTCAATTTGAGATCTTTCATAGATACCAAACTCTTAATGTTTGATGAGTAGCCCTCTGGAACTTTAACATTGTGAAGAACCTTACACAAGATCTTTTTCTCTTTTCTTGACAGAGTATGAGCTGCTGGAGGTAGAAATGTACGCTTTCCATCCCTCTTAACCGGCTGTAACTCATTTCTTAATCCCATACTTTGCAGGTCTAACCTTGCATTAATGCCATCCTTAGACTTTCCTGGAAGATTGAGTAATGTACCAACGACACTTTCAAACACATTTTTTTCTATATGCATCACATCAAGGAAATGTCTAACATACAATGACTTCCAATACGACAATTCAAAGAAAATTGACTTTTTTTTCCATCCTCCCTTTACAAGTTCACTTGAAAATGGCTTTCCAAAATTAGTGCTCAAAAGCTTTACCTTTTGGTATAATTGATCACCCGTCAAAGCCAAAGGAGCTCTATTTTCTTCTGATTCACCATTAAAAGCTTTTCTCCATTTTCGAAAATGATGGTTGGTATTTAAAAATCTACGGTGTCCAAGAAATACATTCTTCATACAATACTCCAATCGTATTGAATGTGTACCATCTTCACATATGGGGCATGCAAATTTTCCTTTGACACTGTAGCCTGATAGATTCCCATAGGCAGGAAAATCATTGATTGTTCCAAATAACATAGCCCTCAAGTTGAAGGATTCTTTTTTATACTCATCATATACTTCCACACCTGTCTCCCACATATGCTTTAAATCTTCAATTAATGGAGCCAAGTATACATCTATATCGTTTCCTGGTTGCTTGGGCCCAGAAATTAACATACTCAACATCGTGTATTTGCGCTTCATACATAGCCATGGAGGTAGGTTATAAATCAACAAAATGACTGGCCAAGAAGTAAGTTTACTACTTTGAATACCATGAGGATTTATTCCGTCAGTAGACAATGCAAGACGTAGGTTTCTTTCTTCCTTCCCAAAATTTGGGTAATCATGATCAATTTTTGCCCATTGAGGAGAATCTGCGGGATGTCGGAGCATTCCATCAACAACCCTTTCATTTGCATGCCATGTTAAGTTCTTTGCGTCTTCTGCATTATGATACATGCGCCTAAATCTTGGTATTATCGGAAAATACCATAGCGTTTTGGCTGGAGCTGTTTCTTTCTTCTTATAGCGTGGGGCACTACATTTAGGACACATATTCAACGATGCATACTCCTTGCGAAATAAAATGCAATCATTTGGACAAGCATGTATCTTCTCGTAACTCATGCCAATAGAACATAACAATTGTTTAGACTCATACGTTCGACTAGGGAGCACGTTGTTCTCAGGCAAAATATCCTTTAACAGAGTCAACAAGTCTATGAAGCTCCTATCGGACCATCCATGGCGTGCTTTTAAGTTATACAACTTTAAGACCGTTGACAGTCTTGTGAATTTAGTACATCCATCATACAACGGAGTCTCTGCATCACTTACTATCCGCTCAAACATTTGAGGACAATCACGAAGATCTTCCTCAATTACATTGACAAATTCTTCAACTCGATCAAACGCATAATTCGTATCTTTTTCAAAATCATTTGATGAATCTCTCCCATTGCTCCTTTTTGTGGACTTGGTTTTTTTTCCCCCGTGCATTATCCAGCATGTGTAGCTTTTATCAATTCCATTACATATTAAGTGATCTTCCAAAACATTTGCACTAACATCCGTATAACAACATTCTAAGCAAGGGCATATGATTTTACTAGTGTCTTCAGCATGAGCAATAACAAACCTAACGAACTCACGAACTCCATCTTCATATTCTTTTGACGCTCGATTGGCAAATATCCATTTTCGATCCATATTTCCTAACAAGTAACATATATAACTAGTTAAAAATTGGTTCTAACAACCAAATTATGTTCCATCTTGGATCATTTCACATTTGAAACTCTACTTTTAAATTGATTATTTCACATATTATGAACTGTATTATAATGGTATCTAACATGCTTATCAATATGATCTATCAGAGTAAAAACTCGAACAGCTGGAATTTCATTATCAAGAGAGTGGTATAGATTGCCTAATACATATATCATAATACCCTCTAAAGTATACTGATCAAAGTTATTAAGTAATATTAATTCATCGTTGGATAGTAAACCATTGTTTTTTATATATTCAATAGCAGAAGGTTTATTATCATCAATAAAGAGTTTTATTAAATTAGGATAATTTTTATATACATCACTTTTATCACTCAGGAATTATAGCATCATCAGGAAGTATTCAATTCAGATAATACTAATATTGGGTTTACTACTTTTTCTATTTAATATAATATTAAGGATCCACTAGTTTGTAAAGCTCTATATTCTCAAACCCACTTATTTTTATTAAACCACATAAAAACAGGACCAAGTCATGATTACGTTCTAAGGTTCAAACAAAAGGGTCTTCATATTTTATACTCACATGCCAAATTTATTTCCAAGACATTATTATAATAATAATTAATTTGACTTGTTGTAATAAATACTACAATATCACCATTTTATGATAATGAAATAAATTTTTACAGAACAATATCTCAATACCCAAATCAGCAAGCATATTATATTTTGAAGTTGATACCTATTACCCCCCACAGTGACCAATCATAGGAAGAGAAATCATGAACTCAAACTGCCAGATATATATACATCAAGAACAAAGAAAGCTACAAGACAAACCAAAACACTGTCTCATCTTCCAGCAGTGTCACAGATCAACTAGTTATAGAAAACTTTGGAACATGATAGTATTAAATCACATTCTGAGTTCCAATGTGTTTTATTTTTGTTCAAAAGGAAAGGGAAAAGGAAATATATAATTACTGTGTGTTCTGGTGAAAACAGTGACGAGAATGGAAAAATATTGAATATATAAATGCATAAGAAAACAAAAGAAAATAGGACAATGTGTCAATTAAAGTTAACAGAAAAAGAAAAACTGTCATGTGTTATACTTCTTATTATGTCAGCTATGTTCTTTAACTTTAGGAATAAATGTCAAAAGACAATGATAAAATAGAGAACAATAATAAAACCTCAACATTGTATGAAAAACATAGAACAGTGATGAAACCAACCTGAATGTAGTTAATTATATCAAAGTTTGCAAGTCTTGATCCACCCTCTTGCTGTCTACAATGCCACTGATCAAGTTTTTCCTGAAATCAAAAAAACATCCAACATTAACGAAATGCCAATTTTTGCTTGGATTGAAAAGAAGAATCGATTAATTGTGACTAAATCACACCAAAACAACAGAAGCCTTATCACTCAAACTAGAACAAACTTTTCAACTCATCTTCAACCAATGTACTGACTTTTTTGCTCTCCATAAAACTTCATTCCTCTCTTCTCTTCCTTCTTCCATGTCTACATTTTACTTGGACTTTTTTGTATGTTATGTGATGAACAGTTTACACCAGACCACTAACTTAAATATCGAAGATCTCAATTAATAGTACTCAAAGTTGATGA